ATAAATCACACAATAAATCTTTTCAACTTGCAATCGTTTTGTTTTTAGATAAAAAATTCAAAATTTATATGGGGGGCGAAATTCCTAAAGGGGGGCGATATTCCTAGGAGATTCGCCCCCCAGGGGGGCGATATTCCTAGGAGATTCGCACCCGGGGGGCGAATATCCTAGGAATATCGCCCCCCTTTTGAGAGGGGGGGGCGAATCTACTGGGGGGGCGAATCTCCTGTGACACCGGCACGTGACACGGTTTTGACCAATCGGCAAACAGAAAAACTGAACTTTGACACTAATTATATAACAAATATATTATATATAGTATTGAGTAATTATTCAAGTCCACTTCTTTTCAGTTTTCGTCATATATATAGCAAATGCAAGTGTAATTTGGAAAACATCTAATTTAGGTTCAACAAGGCACCGAGCCACATTTGCATAAAAATATAATATACTATAACAATTTCGGCGGACGGAAATTACTTTCGAATGTTTTCCAAAAATAGGCCTATATTGCATGCATGCCAAATGCATGTAATTGCTATCGGAGGAAGGAAAGTGGACATGAATAATTACCGCGGCTAAGCTTTTATTATTTATTAATCATTCTTTAATAAAAATAGCTGACAGCGCTAACATGCATGCAGTAATTACATGCAGTGCAAAACAGCTTGACCAAAGACAACGAAGCTCCTTTGCTGAGTTTAATATATCAAGTTTAGGCAAGATTTTTTGGAGAAAAATGTTCCGAAGACTTCTGAGGTAGGGGATCAATCATATTACGATGAAATCTTCTATGTAAAAGTGGATTGATGTATTAGCCTATAGGTGAATTGTATTTATGGGCTGGTCCCAAATACATGCATTGGGTTTTTATATATTACATAAAATTAATTTTCTCAAAAGCAATTATAAATAAGTGCATGTATTTGTACGGGGCAAAAATATAGCTTGTAAAACTGTATCGAGTCACCTTAAAAACTGAAAAATATTTCAGGGGAACATACATAATTTTCTTCTTTTGCAAGGGCTAAATTTCACCTGTCTGAAACCAATTTAAGTTAGATTAATTCCTGTTTAAACTGTTCACCCTATAGATGTCCAGTATATATAAACTATAGCTTTAATACTATATATACGGAAGGAAACCTAAGTTCAAGTAAACCTTAGATTATTTTTACTTGAATCAACGCTTCTTTCACAGTTTCACAATAACTACGAACGGTGGACCTCACTGCCAGCATGAGCTCCACAAATGAATTTATTATAATTATGGATAAAATGTTAAACACGTTACGTATTTATTTGTACACGGATTTATACAAGAACGTCGACGGATCGCGACGCATATGTTGAACACTAACCTATACATGTATAACATATGTATAATCTAACCTCGACTCTAACCCTAATCTATTCTTAATCTGATCCTAATCTATAACCCTAATCTAAACTTGACGACCTTTTTTGATCTTACTCTAATTTAATCTAAACTTGACCGCGACGTACGTTTCAAGCGAAGGCCGTTATTCCTTTGGACAGTTGTCAGCTAGGAGACCACGGGCCGTCGCGTTTTACTTTTTGCCGTAATATGATCATATGGATCGTTAAAGCACTTAGATATACGAACCTCATGATCACGCATGAGATGTTTCATCAATGGTTTCTCAGCCGGCCCTGCCTTGTTGAAAATTATGACATTAATATATTGAACCCCAGAACGACTCTTTAATTGAGTCGTTTTGAATTTACAGTTTGTATCTTAGTTACAAGAGTTTTAACATCTTCTTCAACTAAACATTTAGCTAACAATTAGTTGATTCGATTATTGGGAAATATTCACCGAAGCGAAGTCGCCATGCAGGTGAATAATCCCCGATAATCACCGAGCCTCAGGCGAATAATTGTTTTAGACAGTATTTTTACACCATTTTGCAAATTAATACGTCAAACTTGACCAATCAACTCGTCGGATTTGTCATATTTACTTGTGCAAAAATGCTAAATACAAATAACCTATATACTAGCTATCATTCGTCTGACAAGTGATAAAGGGATGACTTATATATGTACAAGTTTCTCTTCTATAATAGTTTGACCGCCATCATTTTGATAACACTGTTTTACACGTTGGCGTCAATGTTCAACAGTCAATCACAATTCACCATAAAAGCAGTGAAAAACAAAAAGTTTGACGATTCCTGTCTTATTAATGAAACATTCAACACTGGAGACATAGCAGATTGTCTGGAGCACTGTTTAGAAGATTGTCGGTGTCAGTCGTTCCAAATTTGTGGAGAGACAAAATGTCAGCTGTGTTCAAGTCACAAGCAAGAGGACAGTTCATTGCTTCATGACAATGATATCTGTGTCTTTGCTATGTACGAGATGCGACATGCTCAGGTATGATAAAGTTTTTAATTTGCCATATGACATATGCTTCTCCAATTGACGTACCCATCTCACAACGTTAGCGTCTTAGATTCGATCGCTCTTGTTAATGTTTGAAAAGAAAGAGCCAACCCTGTTACTTTATTAGAATTCCATACACGATAAACTTGGTCCTGTCCAGGCTGCGAGTATAGCACATAGTTTTGAATTCTATATCCAATAATCGTTGTTCTTAAAATAATTCTCCAATCCGAGTTGGCGTTATCGTTTTTGCAGTCAGTGTATAGAAAAAACAAAATCTTCAAAACGCCTATGAATGCTCAAACATCATGAATTTTTTGGTATAAACTGATTTGAACATGAAGATGTACATTCATTCTCAGGTATGCTGAAGTTGTTCATTTGCCATACGCTTTTCCAATTCTCATACGTGTCTCAGTCTCACAACGTTACCTCTTAAATTCGCTCTTGTTAATGTTTAAAAAGAAAGTGAAACTATTCTGATCAGTACAGTGAAGCATGTGCATTATATTTTCATTTCTTGTAATGGAAACTTTATATCTTGCTATGTTTAAAATGTTCTGGATATTCTGTGATTACGTAGAGTTGTTAGGTGTTAAATGGTTATTTAAAATTACCGCCGGGCAAAACACAATAAAATAGCCCTATAGAATGCTTAAATATAGCAAAAACCCCCCTAAACGTTCATTAAACTATATTATGCACGAAAAACGTGGGAGTCCAAATACATTTTCACATAATGAAAAACTTCATTCGAATGTCAATGACTGAAATAACCAGTCCTTATACTTCTATATCCATGCAATAATCGATATGTGTTGTTAAAATAACTAATTCTCCAATCCGAGTTCGCGTTATCGATTTTCATCTTCACATTTGGCAGAAATGGACCTCAGAATTGAAATCTTCATGCTCAAATTAGTCTATACCGAAAACGTAACTGCATGTGGCAATTTTCATTTAGCTTGATCAATGATCATTCAACGACCAGCCTTGATTCTGGCAATGCAAGCTGATTTTCCCTAGTATGCACAGAGAGAATCCTTGAGTTAAAGTATAATGCCTTTATCTTCTTAGAAATTCGACGACCACTGTTCAATCATAGCTTGTCCAACGAAGTACAATTGTTGTCAACAACAATCAGGTCTCTGTCCCGTGAACAAAAGATGTAAACCATTCAACTCTCCCCAAAAGCCCTGGAAACGTTTCACCTGCGAATGCCGCGATGGTTACCATGGAGACAACTGTGACAAGCCAGTCAGATCATGTGGTGGGTATTTGAACCATCCCCGGACATCTGGCATGTACAAAGTACTGGATTCTGTCAACCGCCCATATGAAGTATACTGTCATTTCGATTCTGATGGTGCTTGGACTCTGGTGCAGTCTTGCAGTTTTGCAAACCATACAGTTGAAAACAGTGTATTTGGAAAACCTCTATCTGAAGACCATCCTTTCAGTGAAAATACTCTAAAATGGAGCGGCTATCGACTTAGCCAAACTAGAATGCTGTTTATCAATCAAAATTCTGATCGGCTACGGTTTACTTGTGGCTTCGAGAAGGAGCAGGATGTGAATCAAACGGACTATCTTCAAATGTCGCTCAACCAGCTTGGATCGAATACGGATATTACCACCAAATATTTTACCAAAATAGAAGTTTCTTACCGCGGAAAAATAAATGGAACAGATTTAAATGGATGTCAGATTAAAGTTGGGCAGAAAGCTGATAAAGGCCTCCGTGTACGCATCGAGAGCGATGGTGCTTTGTTTGTGCCAGAAAAGCCAAATGCAAGGAATTGTCATAGCTTTCGTTATTTTAGCGACTTAACCGGCAAACAGTGTTTGTTGCCAACACATCGTTGTACTCAGAATGAAAATTCGACATCACAGCTATGGTTTGGTAAAAAGCCATGAATAATAACTTTAATTTAAAGCTTTAATCAGCATCATAGTCTCGTTCAAACTAAGTCAACATACTTCTCCGACGTCATCGTACATTATTAGAAGCAATATTGCAATTATATTGCGTCAATATGTCGGACAAATGTTCGATTTTATTCAAAATTCTCATCGGACCTGAAAGCAGTGAAAAGGAAGCCAGCTAGCATTCATGCCAGCTTTTAAGCCGGTTTTCCACTAGCGAATTTTCTCGCGCGAAGCGACCTTTTTCCTTTGACGGTATCACTTATTACGTCAGCAAGACGTAGCAAAATTGATGCCGACAAAGGAAAAAGGTCACTTCGCGCGAAAAAATTCGCTAGTGGAAAACCGGCTTTAAGTCTATTCGCGTCGCGTTGCTGAATCGCTTCCGGTCTGTGTGGGCCTTTAGTGATGCTTTATAACATTTCACATATCTTATTAACAGGCAATTTTATTATATGTTGGCGTATTTGCGACGAAGAGCGTTAATATCTAAAATCTTTTTGCGTACCTCTCAAAAATTACCTTGTTTTAGCTTTATTTTCCAGTTCATACAGTTAGCTGCCTTTTTAATGCACTTGGCAGTTCAGAAATATGAGTAAAATAACTGTAAAAATATAATAGTAATATAAGAATTAACTGTCAAATAAAATACAGTTATCTCTAGGATTGTACATATGACTATAACTGTTTATGACAATTGCTTAATTGGTATAATAATATATAGCTGTATATAAAAACTTCTGTAAAATGGTAACGGTTTTAATTGTATTTTAACATCATGTATAAAGCAATATTACTCGGAACGATTTTCAACGCGACGATTCGCAAGTATAGGTAATCATGCTATGGCAAGTACAATTAGGGATTAATAGTACGAGTGATGTTTGGAAATTTAGCCAAAATTGGACGAGCCGCCGGGACGAGTCCAATTTGGCAAAATTTTCAAACATCAGGAGTACTATTAATGCCTAATTGTACGAGAAACATGGCATGATTACTTGTTTGTTATTAGCATGACAAAATTGGATAATCCTCAATGTCAACATCATATTCTCTCACCAAAGCCCAGCCTGCAAGACTTTCAACCAAAATTTGATGCTTTTGTTCGTATTTTCATTTAGTTCTTTTGCTTTAAGTTCCTCTAGGGCAATTTCATTTGTGTTTAAATACCTTTCCGCCATTTTGTTTGTTTGGGGAAAATCATTAATTGTACTGCAGTACAATTAATGAAATAATTGTACTCCTCTCAACCAATCAGCATCCGGTAATTTTCCTCGCTCATTAGTAAATTATGCAAGGTGATTGGCTCACAATTCATGAGAGCGAGGCTCCCAGGCACTATGACGTAATTATCGATAGGGTGTATTGCTGAAAATAAAAAATAACTTTTCTATGATTTTTGCATTCTCCCTCCTTATTTGTGAGTGTCTTTCCGATTTGTCAGGAGGCAAATGGTGTCTCCAAATAAAGTATATGTGCATGAAACTTTAGACTGCAGAAAATTGCACAAGCTAGCAGTTATCAAACTTGTGCACATGCTGAGGTAAAGGACATGTGTGACAACTGAATATTTTTTGCCAGAGGTTGGCATTTGTTTTTTAATTGAGATTTAATTAAGGTTGGGTAAAATTTCTTTTTCTTTTTAAAAGTTGGATTAGCAACAATATAGGTTAACTGGGACTATATAGGTTAACCGGGACTATATAGGTTAACTGGGACTATATAGGTTAACCGGGACTATATAGGTTAACCGGGACTACATAGGTTAACCGGGACTATATAGGTTAACCGGAAAAATCATTTTTGGCAAAAGCTTTCTTTACTAAAAAAAAATGAGTAAATTTGCCCATATAAATTTCTGTAATTTTATTCGGCACTACTTTGAGACACTCTTTGGATGCATTGTTTTAAGCAATGTTTTTGGGTCAAAATAATCAATATTTTTTTCAGTGTATGGCGCATGTAAATATATAATTATGGCATAATAAGCGTAGTATACTATGTAAAAGTACATGTATATAGCGAGGCAATTAAATGTGGCCGCTTAAACCCTTCATCTGCAAATATTATTGCTTCTATTTAGAGCTTAAGAAGTTACAGTATTAATAATTTAAGTGAAGCGAAAAAAACAGCTGTTTGGACAGTGAATTGTCAGTATAACTATTAACTGCGAGTACATAAGTCAGTTCGCCATTTATAATCCTAACAAATTTTTTATCACTTTCCGTCGGAAGCGGGGGGACTGGGGGGCTTGAGCCCCGCCCCCCAATAATTTCCATTTGTATAAGCAAAACACACAAAAGAACTAGAAAAGTGCGAAAGCAATTCAGATTTGATGTAGACCCATGTTGACTTACTTCCGATGGCCTTGTGCAGTGTATGCTTTACGCAAAAATTAAAGAAACTCGTAAATATTAAACATTCAAAGCCGCAAACTTGCTCTATATTTCACAATTTCCAATACTAAATCAATTCTTCTTGTTTCTTCAAAACACTACAATAAAAGAAAGCTCATTGTACGTAAACGATTTTCGAAATATATGTTTTTGAAATCTTGCTTTGGTATCCCTTTGTGCTAACTGATTACGAAACGTCAATCACCTTTAACTTAATGGGTAAAAACACATTAGTCATATAGCCATTTGGGGCAGGCGTTTCCTCGACGACGCCCTCCATTCTCCCGCCCGCACTATAAAACTCATGCATATTGGAAGTTCTTTTGTTGATATTCCAGTGGAGAAACGAATAGTAACTCGGATTTTCCCTATAGCGTAGTTTTCTTAGTCTTAGTTTCACTGTTTTCGCAATTGTTGTTTTAGTTTCACTGGTTTTATGAGGATTACTATAATATATCGAGCCACCTGAGGAAAAACATAAAACGGGATTTTATATACCGCGAAAGCAGGATTGATAAAAATATTATGGCGAGATGCCGCAAAATAGCCCAGGATTTAGCAGGATACGGGATTTATTTATAACACACAGTATATATGTGCATGAAGTTATATTAATTCCCATTACTCATTTACTCTTGCATGTTTATCAAAATAGACAATCCGATGAGTCATATATAATTGTTATGCCGAAGCGAAGTCCGACATGAATAATTACTTAACTTCATTATTTAACAAAAGTACCCAACAGACTCCACACTAGTAACCGTCATCACCTGCAAGCAAACTAATAGCTTGAGCCAAGACGACGCTCTTCTACCGAGTTTAAAATATCAAGATTGGGCAAGAATTATATTGGAGAAAAAATGTCCCAAAGTCTTTTGAGGTATAGGGTTCAATTATTTTACGATAACATATTTTCTATATATACGTAAATATTCTCAAGAGCAAGCGCGCTTGTATGGGATATCGGAAAATTCTTGTAGGCGCTCGTATATATAAGTTAGTTGTTCGCTCGGTGCATTCTCGCAGAGCGTATTTATAAAACAACTCTTATTATAAAATAACTTTTCCAATTCTGAAAAATATTTCAGTGGAATATGTAGTTATTTTATTTTTGCACGGACTTGCAAGTAATTCATTTCATTTAGATTATTCCTATTTAAACATTCCCCCCTTGAGATCCAGTTAACGTCATCAGTTAGAGGTATATATACACAGTAAGAACGATAATTGTTTATTGGGGCAGTATATATATATATATATATATATATATATATATATATATATATATATATATATATATATATATATATATATATATATATATATATATATATATATATATATATATATATATATATATATATATATATATATATATATATATATAGATATATATATATTTGTTCAAAGAGCTACAAAATAAATTGTAGTTGTAACACAGGAATAATGTAATTTGAAACGCTCTCCGTGTTTAAACAATAACATATACATACCCTTTTCTAGATATATACAAACAAATTCCAAAACATGAAACAACAAAATCCATTATATAATCCTTCCCCTCGCCAGCTCTACAATGAAGTAGTCCAGGCCTTGGGACCCTGGATGTGGGTTTAAAAGGAAGGACTACAACACAAGAAAATTAATCCATCTCACAATTGCATGTTGTGTTCTGTGCAAATGAACTATATCTCGGTAATAAAGGAAATGAAAGTATCATGTGATAGACTCATGACTTACATTATGTGCCACACAACTCATTTCATCGTCGTCATAATGTCTAACCATATCAGGAAATATGTATATGGAATAAAGCGGAATATGTCCGAGCCAGTTACTTTAGGTTGTAAGGACTCCGCATCTACATACTAGTAGAATGGTCTATATAGTTGTTCAAAGAGCTACAAAATAAATTGTAGTTGTAACACAGGAATAA